GCTTAAACTACAGAAATTTATTTTATCACGTTCCTGAAGGATGGAAGTCCAAGATGAAGGTATTGGCAGGTTTGGTTTCTCTGAGGCCTCCCTCCATGGCTTAGAGATCTCTGTCTTTTCCCTGAGTCCTCACATAGTCTTTTTCCTGTACCCTTACGTGTCTGTGTTTAATTTCCTGTGCTTATAAGAATACCAGTGAGATTGGATTAAGGCCCACCTTAAAAACTTCATTTTTACTTAATTCTCTTTTTAGAGGCCCCATCTCCAAATACATGGTCACATTCTGAAGCGCTGGTAGTTTGGTGCCTCAGAGGGGTTAGTCATGGTCAACTATGACTTATGGTACAACACAATTCAGCTCATAACAATTGCTTTAATCTTTTTCTGGTCTCTATTTACTCCTAGGTAAAATCTTGGGGGGGGGGACACCTTGAGTGACTAAAAGATTCACAGTATATGTAAAGCAATACCTAGTAGCTCCTGGTGGACAGGAATGCTTTCTTGTCTTGTGTCCTTACAATTCCTGGCACAAACTTTGAACACAAATGCTTATAAATATGTAGTGAACAAATGAATGAATGATGGAGTTGTAGAAGTGGTCTTTAATAGGTGTGTTTCTTTCTAAGATGGATTCAGTAACAAAGACGATGACAGGAAACCTGTAGAGAAGAAAGTGTCCCCACTGTAAAAACAATATGCCACACGGAGCTCAGTATAGAAAATCTCCCCATCCTCCTTGTCATACTCCAAAAAGTCATGGGGAAATGATTTGTGACAAAATTGCATGCACAAAAAAAACCAGTATCTTCACACAGCCAGAGCTCTCAAGTGATGAGAGACACAAAGACATTGCACACAATAGGTGTTCCTGTTCGTTGTCTGCCAATTCACCTATCTTTGATCTCTGTGAAGGAGCAACATGGCTAAGGTACTGTGAAATGAAGTCTTTAAGGTGGGCCACAGAGCACCACTCTGGCTGCTGCTCATCCAACTCCTGGTCTTCATTCACCGAGGTCAAGCCGCGGTGATACTCAGACCCTGTGCATCTGATGATAAGCATCTTCTCTCGGTGCCTTCGAGTCTCGAATTTCCTTCCAGCCTGACTCCAAAGGACCTGTTTCATCTTTGACACCTTTACAATGTGCCACTTTGAGTCTGTAGATTCTTTCTTCCTGAGTCCACCAGGGGTTATTTTTTTCCTGGTATCACTGCACTCTTTCCCCCTGATGAGCTCTCTGAAGTGGATTTGTCTCTTGCATCATTCTCAGTGATGAGAACTCAGTTGAAAGAATTGGTTATCTGTCAATTGGCTTGGAGTCAGGGAGCTAAGTATTTATATTTGACTATATATACATTGTTCAGAACTTTTACAAGCAGTAGTAAATACAGAAGATAATAGACAACAATCTGTAACTAAAAATTGTACCCTTTAATAAAGCAACATTTGGTTATGAGATCAGAGGTAAAAAGTGAAATTTACTCTCTGAAATAATATGGAAGACTTGAGACTAGAAATCATAGTCTTAAGGAGGGCTTAGTAAACCCTCGGAACTTAGTAAACCCTTGGAATTAACAGTGATTGGCAAGCATGTTGGCACATGCCTATAATCCCAGCTACCTGGGAAGCTGATGCAGGAGGCGGTGAGGAACTGAAGGAACTCTGTCAACTCTCATTGCCCAAAATAATTATTTTTTTTAATAAGGGCAAATGCAGAAATTATTGAGCTGTGTAGAGTCGGGTGTAGAAGGCACTGTTTTTCACAAGCTCTGCAGGTGATTGTGATTTGCAGCCAAGGAGGAAAGCCAGCTCATTAGGAGCAGAGGAAAGAAACCTGAATGTGTGGAACCACTGTGCTGTCTTGGGCACTGTGTGGCAGCTGGACATTCGTGGTCTCTGCTCTTCCTGGCAAGCAAGAATTTGATCCATGTGGGGGTCAAGGCTGGCTCTTCACACAAGGTGCTCAGCTACCTCCTTACCTTCTGTTGCCAGGGCTTGAATGCAGGTGGGCTGCACTTCTCTTCTGTTCTCCAAGAAGATGGTATGCTCTGATTACACTTTATTTTATCTCCAGTAGAGATGATTTTACCATTGTTGGCTCTTTTAGAAATGAGCCCTCAAGCTAACTCTATCCAGGTGAAACTTTCTCATCAATTTTGCTCCTGTAAGATACTTTTATATTTTAAATTTTTGTTCATTTTTGTGAGTCTCTTGATACCAGTTCACTTCTATATGCTTCATTTCATTACACTGTGTGCTTCTGAAGCACACACAGAATGCTTATCATACACTTAGTGTAATTACCAAAATCTGTTTCATCTCTTCATTCTGCAGCCTTCAACAACTCCCTTCATGACCCATTGAAAAGACAGATATAAACCCACAGAACACTAAGGGCAGTAGACAGGCAGGGGATGTTCTTACCATGTAAGGCAGTGGCAACATATGAGCCAAGCAGGGCTGCTCTGAGCCATAGAGTAAGGGAACAGGCTGCCTGTGGACCAGGACACCCACCCTCTGGGGTGCCATCCCATTCTCTGCTTCCTACTTTATGAGGGCCTCCTGGGTCTTTCAGTGAGCCCAATCCACGTTGTTCCTACCAAGCTCATTTGGCTCATCCCCTTAGAGGTGAAGCCAATGAGCAAAACATGATAAAAGCAGCCAAGAAGAGATAGTCTGCCATTGTCAACATTGGTGAATGGTGTTCCCCTCTAAATGTGGAGAGAGAGGAAATCCTTGTCTGTTTTTAAGAACAACTGTGTCTTGATTATGATATCAGATTGGTAAAAATGGAAAAACAATTTGATTTAGAGTTAGTAAATGAACATTTTTCTTTGAACTTATGCACAAGAATTTACTTTTCTTTATAGAAGTAGCACATGATATCTCTTTCTATATGTGTGTGTACAAATATATATATATATATATAATGTGTGCGCGTGCAGGTGTGTATGTGCAGATGTGCGCATGCACGCGCGCGCACACACACACACACACACACACACACACACACACATATGAAAAAAATAGAAGAAGTAAACTATTTGAAATCTTACTACCCCCAAAGCACCACATTGGTGTATGTCTTCTGTGTAGTAGGATACATCAGGGGAAAAGCCTACATGTATTTTAAATATATTTAATGTTTAGAGTTTCTACTTAATAGTATCTATTGAATATTTCTCCACAGAATTATTTTTTTAACTGCACAGTATCTCAATATGTGGACATGCTCAATTAATCTATCCCTTGTCATTGTATATTTATTTTGTTTCCTACTTACTGTCATCTATTATAAATAATAATGGTCTTCAAAGACCATCTTTGTAGCCAGTTATAATTAGCCAAGACCATTTTGTGAGGCTGCATACATTGGAGACTGAGAGTAGAGAATCTACCAAGAGGTAGTTTGGTGTGATATTGTACCACTTGCCCTGATGACATCTACTAAGCTGTAAAACGGCAGCTCTGTGTCTGTGGTCTAGCTTTGGTGAGGTTACTGTAAAACAGGTATTCTGAACTATGCTATATAGTAACCTTAGTTTGGCTATATAAAATTTAGTATATTCATGACAATGAATAACAAGTTGAAGTATACTATGAAATAATATAATTGCTGATAATAAGCATAGGCTTAGCTTCAAAATAGCTAGCTTAAAATTTCCTGTATAGTGCATTTTAAAGATTTCACTAATGTTCTTGGAGGAGTGGCATCCAGCCATTTCTGGAATGAAATAACACACATTGTTCATAGTTTAGACCATAATTGATTTAATGCATATTTTTACTACTTTGACATACCATTTATCTTATATGAAAAGAATAATTCTTTCCACAGGTAATAAATAAAATTATAATTCTATAAAATGGTATTTGATGATCCACAAATTTTTTTAAATATTAATTTTTTAGTTGTAGTTGGACACAGTGTCTTTATGTCCCTTATTTATTTTTATGTGGTGCTGAGGATCCAACCCAGGGTCTTGTACATGCGAGGCGAGTACTCTACCACTGTGCCACAAACCCAGCCCCCACAATTTTTTTTTTTTTTAAGATTATTTTTTAACCTAAGTGGACATGTTCTCTGGCTGTTTTTTGCTTTTTTGCTACTGTGACCGAAAGACCTAAAGAACAATTTGAGGAGGAAAAGTTTATTTGGAGACTCATGGTTTCAAAGATCTCTATCCATAGGTGGCTGACTTTATTCCTCAGGGCCGGACATGTGGCAGAACATGATGGCAGAGAGTGTGGTGGAGGAAAGCAGTTGTGAGCAAGGCACCTAGGAACAGAGAGAGAGAGGGAGAGAGAGAGAGAGAGCGCTCCCCTCACCAGACAGAAAATAAACTCCCAAGGTGTATCCTAGTGCTCACCTCCTCCAGCCACATCCTACTTGCTTTTAGTTACCACTCAGTTAATCCTTATCAGGCGATTATTTCACTGATTGGGTTAAGGCTGTCAGAACCCAGTCATTCTTGCATTGTCTCACACATTAACTTTTAGGGGACACCTCACCTCTAAACCATAGCACTGGTGATTTCTGAATCATCCTAGAATCACAAAATCCATTATTTAAGAACATTTGTCCTCCTTGTTCCCCTCATATTCGGAGAGGCAAATATGTCTCTGTATTTGGATAGTACATGATTTTATTTCTTCCTCTGCTTATGTGGCTTTGAGCCTGTGTGGCAGTTGCTTGTACTTCAAAGAGCCTTTGCTATTCTATGAGGATTCAAGTGAGGCCAATGGGAAATCTTCTGGGCTTGGTGCTCTCACAACCTCCACATTAAGGAGGCAGGATCTCCACCTGAGGCTTCTAGACAGTAACTGAATTTTGATTCAAGCTTTTGATCAACAAGCTGTTTTAATTGATGGGACAAAGACTAAAACTAGAGTCTCTTTAGCACAGAGCTTTCTAAGCTTTATTGAGAATAATTGTTCATTTCTTTGTGACCCACCTTACCATTTCCCAGTTTGATCCTAAATCTTCTCTTTATCTTTTTAGGCTGGAGGCTCCCAAGTGATTTTCACAAATCCTTTAGAAATTGTCAAGATCCGCTTGCAAGTGGCTGGAGAAATCACCACTGGACCCCGAGTCAGTGCTCTGTCCGTCCTCCGAGATCTGGGGTTCTTTGGCATCTACAAGGTATCTATTAATCATTTGTTTGAATTGCTTGATCATTTGCTAAACTAGTAACTGTTCATCAGCATGAAATTGACTTTTCCTGTGAAGAAATGTTCTTCTGGAACCCATAGGGAGGTACCCATTCTGCCATCTGCCAAAACACTGCCTTCACAGATACACAAATCCAAGCTGACTACGATGTGAATGGTGTCCACTAGAGCTGTTCAGCACAACTCTTTACAGCATCACTGGCTGGGGCTTTATTTTGATTTGTTATTGATACAAAAACCTAATTCTCCATGTCCTCCTTCATCAGGGATATATGCAAAAATCCTAGGGCACCATCTTCAGGAGGCATCCTGAGTTCAGTTAACCCACACCAGGGCAAGAATTTTATTTTCTATCCTACACATTGGCCCTATCTGTGTTTTCTATGTCTATGCCACCTCTCAAGTATTATAAATCTTAACCATTTTTCATTTAGAAATGTTTTTTCAGAATTATTTAAAAAACAAACTTTCAGAGGATATTTGAAAATTTTCATTCACATCATTCTACCATAAAGTTGTAATGAAATATACCAAAATTATTTGTATATATGCCCTGCTCTAAGACTTATCACCATTTTTCAGTAAGATTCCAAAAAAATGTTTAGACCAACTTGAATAAGTAAACCTTTAAGAATATAGGGGGATAAGTCAAATGTATACTTAAAGTAGTTTCTTATATTTACACAGAAATTATAAAAACAATTATATGAAATTAATAATGGTTTGTTTCTATGGCTAATATCAAGAAATGTCTTATTCCAATTATTCATGTAAATTTTAAACCAATGTCTTGATCACTACTTAATTCTTTTTTGAATCATCTATTAATGTGGTTTTACAGAGCATACTGTCTTCATTTTTACCCTCTGCAAGATATAGCTCTTTTGATCTTCGTGTACAATATTGTCCCTGGAAATTTTATCCCACAGACATGTAACATTGAGAGAGCTAATTTCTGTTTTCCTAGTCTCAGTTCATACCGAGTGGGTATAACTGATCCCCATGAATTTCAGTTTACTACCATATTGCTTTTTAGAGAACTTTTTAATATCTTGTTTTGACATTCAGTGTAGCATTTGTGAGATCTTACCCCAATACTTTTTTTTTCCCTTTTTTGACTACCCAGAATTCTTCAGGTGATCTCACTAAATATCCAGAATTAATAATAATTGAGGTTATTTCAGGCAAATCTACATTCCCCAAATGATATTTATCATGGTCAAGTGGTTAGAAAGAGCACCCCATAAGCTGAGTCTTTGTAAGAATCAAATACAATGTGATGTCCTCCTTAATGAGATTGATCTGGGGAGATAGGAACAACTTGCCTTATTTACTTAAGCATACGTGGATTTTGAGAATAAAAATGCTGATTTTTTTTTTAAAGTTGCACTTAAGATGCTCAATCAGGGATTGTGCAGTAAGCAGCATTCTAAAGCTATTTTCTTTACCAATTCATTATCCAGCTATAAGAAATAAACAGTATTATTATGAGGCATAGCATAGATCAGTTTGAAATCATCTTCTTTTCTAAATTTTTAGGCTCTTGCAGCGTATAACACCATGTAGCAGCTTGTCATTTTGACAGGATGCCAAGGAGTCTTTCAGTGGGACTGTCTGGTAAAAAGCACTTGGGTACTCTGGTGGTGACTGTCATCAGAATTCTAGATGGATAAAATGGTAAAAACTTGTTTGCTGATACAGAAACAGGGCCTGTTAAATCACCTGCAGATGTTACGAGGCAGAGACTTTGTGCTTTTCATCCTCACATTATTTCATAATCTTAATTCCCTTTAACACTCTTTGGAAGTAGTTGGTATCCTGGTTTTGCAGTCGGGTGAACAGAGGCTGCCAGCCTTGGTATTTGAGCTGAAACAGAGGCTCAGAAGTTGCTTGTTTCCACTTTTGTGCTAAAATTGCTTTACTGAAATGAGCAGGATTGCTCAAGTTTGAGCAGGAGAACTCTCCCATGTAAAGTTAGTTTAATTACTAGTCTAGTAATTTAATCTAGTTCAGAGGCATTCCACAGAGCTTGGCGCTGTCTCACAATACACTGGTTTTTGGTGTATTGATAATTACCAAGTGAAGTCACTAGTGCTTTGGGCTGGAAACTTGGTTTCTTTGCAAGAGAATGACCTGGCAGTCTCCACCTTCATGCTGGCCATCCATATCAACTGAATTCCTGGAGACTTGTGAGTCTTCTTTAGGTGGACATGCACCTCTCTGTGGTGTCTGCTTCTTTCAGTCAACTGGCTCTTGCCTTACCACTCTAGCTGATCCTCATTTTTGATATCCTGGCTTCTAGCCTCTCCCTTGCCTAGTGACATGGGTGCCAGCCCCACCCCACGTTACCTATCCTTCCTCACCTTTCCTAGTCAGAAATCATTTCAGTAGATTAAGCTCCCTCCATTTAGGGAGCATCACAGCTTTAATATTGCCGTGAATGTAACCTGTTTTTGTTTCAAGGTAGCTCTTTTTAGCAATAGTGCCTTTCTCTGTTTGTTGCCTTGATTGGGTAGAAAAATGCAAATGGCAAGAAGTGAACTAATAAGCCTGGTTTGTGTCCTTCCCTGTGGGTCTTAAAAGAGACCACTGTCATAGTTTTTGTTGGGACTGGTAATCTGCCTTCTCTTCCCCTGGGGTCTTTTGTTTGCTCTGTTAACATTACAATGGCGTGCACAGGAGGAGTGAGAGGTTGGCTCTGTCTGTGTGTCTAGGCCTGCTGAGCTTAACCTTACCTGAATTGGACTTAAGCAAGCTTTCTGTTTTTCTCCTGAATTGACTTGCAAAATACCTAACTATCCTGCAACTTCCCAGTAAATGGCAATTAGAATTCTTGCTTTAGAAATACATTTGCAACTGAAAAAGAGTGGATTTGGTAAACATTTCACATTCCTGAAATTAGAAATAGTTTAGAGCCAATATAGGAAACTATGTAAACAAAGCCCCCCTCTAACATAGTGACATTTAGAGAGCTCTAGTTATAGCATGCAGAAAATAGGTGGTTGAAGTAAAGTCAGAATAAATCATTGCCTTTGGAAGAGCTGCCTGATTGTGATGTAGTTAAGAAAAAAATCTTTAACATATATTACATTTCTTAAGAATGTAAGAGGTTGGGACTGGGTAGAAGAGCACTTACCTAGCATGCATAAGGCCCTGGGTTTGATCCTCAGCATTGAAAAACAACAACAAAAAACTGGATGTAATTATCTTTTCCTAGAAAGATTTTCTTTTATACATAAGCCCCTGGAGTATAAAATAAGTCAGATTCTCTCATAGGAAAGAAAGTTGCATTCATCTACTTTTGAATGTTACCTATTCCATAGGAGCTGTCAACTTATAAAATTTGTTGTTAAACATTAAATGGCAGCAGAGCTATCATAGGTCCAAAGGTGCTTCCTTAGGAAGCCCAGAAGAGTTCATGCCTCTTTTCGGAAACTGTTTAGTAAAGCACTGAGAGCTAGGATCCATCAAGCATTGTTCAAAACAGTTTTCAAATTGCATAATCACAAATAAAACACTATACTAGAAAGTTGCTTAGGAATATGGGCTGTTGTGTTCTGATCAAAGGCATTCATTTCACCCACTGTGTTTGACAGTTTTCAAGTGTGTTTCTCAACTACCTGCATCACTGGGTACCTGAGTTCATCCATTGTGTCTAAATGAATATTGAAGCTATTGTCCATATCTTGCAAAAGCAAGCAATGATATATCTGTGTGTTCTTGTTTATTTTGTTACTTCTCTCAAAGGTTTGGTTTTTAAAATCTTCAAATAAAATACAAGTTGATATTTTTAAAACCTCAAACTATTGAGAAGGGTATATGGAGGGAAGTAAATTCTCTCTCCAACCTTTACTTTTCCATTCTCTTCAAATAGTTGCTGCTTAAATTTTTTATAAATCCTTGGAAAAATTTGTCTATTTAGATCAGTATTGTCTCCTCATCCCTTTCATTCTTTCTCTCTCTGTATTTTAAACTTTACCAGTATCAATATAGCCTGTGGTGTTTTAGTACAAATAGAGTACTTCTAGGCACAATGTTTCTCTTTCTCACTTTCTCTCCTTGTTTTATTTGATAGTGGTATACAATTATTTAAAAGTTTTTTCTCTCCCACCACGTCCATGCTGGGTGTAAGTTTTTTTTTAACTGATTTCATATATATATTAGTTGTAGTTGGACACAATACCTTTATTTTATTTATTTATATTCGGTGCTAAGGATTAGTCCCAGGGCCTCCCACGTGCTAGCCACAATCAAGCCTTCTGGTTTCCTCTTAATGAATACTTATGTTTCTTCCAGTGTGGAAATACAAGCAATGCCTGGTGAACTTCCCTGTGTTTTATTTTGATAATTTTTTTTGTTTTTTTAAATTAGTACATTAAAATTATACATGATAGTGGCATTTGTTACTTATACATATATACACACTATGCGACAGTATAATTTGGTATTTTGATATTCTTTTATAAGTGTGTACAAAGAATAAATTCCTAGGAGTGAAGATATCAGGTCAAAGGGGCATGTACATTTTTTAGTTTCAATAGGTCTAATCAAATTCCATCAGTTTAATTTTATCCAGATAACACATAGTACTTATACGAATAATTCCTCAGTTTATCAGCTTTTTAAAATTTCTTTTTATATGCATATGCCCCACATGAAGAATGAAATTGTTTAATTATTGCTTTGAGAATGTGTTGAACACTAGTTGTCTGACATCAAGGGGCATGCTTTGGTTTTACTGCCACCCTAATGGCTGCTCTCACTCTCCCACTTTTACTTCTGTCTTCATCTGGACTTTATTCTGACTTTGACTCCAAATTCATTGTTATTACAGCAGCTAGAATGATCCATTTAAAATGTAAGTCAGATTAATTCACACAATACACTTTCTTAATATTTATAGCAACTGTATTCACAGTTGCCAAAACCTAGAGGCAACCAAGATGTCCTTCACTAAGTGAATGAATAAAC